ACGGTCCTGGAGCGGTGTCAGTGTCCTTTGCGGTGCCAGGAACTCCGTGTTGTTGGGTAGATCTTTACCGTCAGGCCTTCTGCCAGCAAGCCACCAGCTCGTTTGTTCCTCTCCCCCCTGCCCTACCCGTTTAGTTTTAAGCTGCCTCAAAGTCTAGTAGTTTGTAGCCTCTGCTGTGGTAGTAAAGGTGATGCGTAGGTTTGAAATAATAGCGGCAAATGTGCTTTTTAGTTTCCAAACAGGCTTCCAAGGATACCTCCAAGATTTAGCTAAACTTCAGAGAGTAGGTGCGAACTAATGGGACTGAGGTACCAGTGCTGTGTCTGGCAGCGCGGCGTGCAGAACCACGTGTCCCGCTGTTCTTGTGTTTTAGCGAGAGCTTGCACCAGACCTCCTAGGAGAAGCTGCCTGTCTTTCTTGTATTTCCTACAAGATATTCTGGTGGGCTGTGTACTTAAAAGTTCTCATCAGATTTCTTTGCTAGTTGGTTCTTTTGATTTATTGTTTGTCATCATTCTTAAATTCAAACAAACACGTTCCTTACAATTCTTTCATCTAGTTCCTCACCTTTCCTTGTACCTGTATGTTTGCTGTGTTTTCCTGATTCTACTCCTATTTTACACATTGTCCTGTTAAAGGCTAAAGCTGAAGTTACCCAAAAATCTCCTATACTGCCCTGCAAGCCATAAATCTGCCCTCTAGGTATTGAGTCAGCATCTGCTAATGCCAAGACAGCTGTCTTCTGTCTCTATTGGTCTTGCCAGCCACCTTTAAAAACAGTTTAAGGACTTTTTTGTCAGGTAAAATGAGATACAATAGGGCTTCTCATGGGAATTTTATTTTGATTGCCATTTGGCCATTCTCTGGATGCAAGCTTTTCTTTCAGCCTGATGCTTGCCAACATTTGAGGCTGATTATGTTTTTCTCAGTTTCTCTCTGAAGGTTTCACAGTTTAAAAAAAAACCAACAACCTATTTCATTGAGGCACATAGTAGACTAAAATAGAAAAATCTTTATCCAGTAAGGTATAAAGAAGTTTGTTGTATGGAAATTGAAAGACTGAATTTGATCCGCCGGGATGATTGTTTCTGTCTTCTCAAAGTTGGTGCACTTTCTGCTGTGCAGGGGGAGTGCAGGGCACTCCAGCTGCTGAAGTCATTTTCATAGTAGTACCTAAATAAAAACATATCAAACTCTCTGTTGGCAAAGTGTGAGCGCAGTAGGGGATAGCAAGAGTTGAATCAACTGACACTAACTTTCTTCCTCTCTAGAGCAGTGGACAGTCTTAATTTATAATCATGCTTTCAGGATGATTGCATTGCATTGAATCTTAATGGCCATAAGGATGTCAGCAGAGGCGGTGGAAACACTTAAAAGCCCTAGGAACAATGCAGTTGTTCTGTGATGTTGTTTTGCAATAATAATGATTTGCACTGTCTTTGTCCATTTCATGATGTAAGGTGAAACTGAAAAATAGTGTCTGTGCAGTGTACTGTTGCTGTGAAAAATCGACCTCTGCATCCCTTGACATTGCTGTTAACTGTACAGTGTATTGTTTTAGAACTAAACTGTTTGCCTAAAATGCACTTGCTTCTGCCACCTAAATGGGATATGAGCTGTGGTTGCTTTTTGAATGATTCATAACTGCTGTAATTGCCAAAATTCATTTGTAGGCTCTGAGGGCCTGCATGTTTGTCCTTTTAAATTGTACAGACAGGACTGCTTACTGTGTAACACATGAAAAAAGCTCGTGCCTGAAAGTTTCAGCACAATAGACAGTTATGGCAGAACTGGATGTAGAGCCTAGATTTCCTGGCTCCTCTCTGCAGCTTCTAATGTTCCTAACACCCCCTTTTTTTTTGCCTTTTGTAATGTATCTGTCATTGAATTTTACTTGGGTTTGTTGCATTATATCCATGCAGCCTTACTGTCACAGGGCATTTCTAAAAAGAAAACTTGAATTAACTCATTTTGACACTTCCTTCTTGAATGTGTTTGTTACAGTTTATATCTGTTATCTGCAGATGAAGCCTAATTTTTCGTTTTGTTGAATTTGTTCTTTTCCTCTTTCAGCCGAGTGGTTTTACCTTGCTCAGTGCAAGAGGTATGTCCTCATCCTACCTGCTTTTGTTTTGGGGCAATGGGTGGGAAAATGTTAGTGTCTCATTTAAATCTGACTACCCTGGATCCAAGTTTCCTCTGCTGTGCACCCACCAGTCTGCCACACATAAGTTACCACATGTGTAAGCCACCAGTCAAGCAGAGTTAACCTCTTGCAGATGAATTTCAAAGGCGGCAAATGCCTGCAGGCAGAGAACCTTTAGCTCTGTCTGAGCCACTCCACTGCTTACAAGCAAGAAAAGAAAAAGTTGTGCAATTCTGCACTGCAGCAGAATTTTCC